CGTGATAACGACTGCTTTGGAACACGATGTGTTAACTGCTAGCGACCAAAAATATTACTTGAATAAATTAAATGTTGAGTTAAAAATAGTAGAAATCATCAATTATTAATTTTACTCTTCTCTCCATATTTTTTATTTTCCCGGCGTCTGAGCTCATTGTTTCCCATCCAAATTTATAGGATGGCTGGACGCCTTTGCATGCAGCAGCTCATTGGGCAGAGAAAGATTCGTGCAAAATTCTTCTCGAACATGGTGCCAGCATCACCGATACCAACTATGCGGTATGCACCGTAGTGTAAGGTAATGCATCGAAAGGAACTTTCATTATGTGATATAATCTTAGGGTCAAAATGTGTTAGCTGTAGCCGATAAGGATGTAGTGGAATACTTAGAAGATTTGGAGCGATCGGTGGATAAACGGAAGTCACCGCCTGCTCCTCCTGCTAGTATATTACAAGTACGTGTGTAGAAATTCTTATTCCACAATGTCATGTCTTAACTGGTTTGGCTTAAGGAGAAGAACAATAGACTTTCTCATGAAGACCACACTCTAACCACTGATCGTAAGCATGAAATACAACGTAGAGACCAAGTCAGGTTTGTACAGTTTGCTGTACATCAACATGACTACGTAGAAAATTTGCTAAGATTTGAATTAAGCCTTCAAAAACATCCATCGTATAGTGAAAATGAAATGCTGCACTCATCTGTGAAAGTTCGTCGGATTGGTGATTCTAAATCACCATCACCACCATCGGAGTCACCGTCTTTGCGTGAGTCCGTCGACAGTGAGCCACGGTCTCCACCTGCAGCGGCTGATGAGAAGCTGTCTTCTGCGGAAAGAAGTGCCAGTGAACCACCGTCATTGCCGGGGTTGGTTTCTATTAATATTAGGCTTTACAATTGTCTCATCCCCGCAGAGCGGCTCCTGCAGTAGTACGTTTATATTGGTATTAAGGTTACATAGTGCGCTTGATGTGAGTACGCCAAGCGTACACAAATTCTTTTGGTCACACTTCGTGACATTTCGCCAGCTGCACTTTCTGGGCAATCTGATGCTTGGATAGTGTAGCGAAGTGCAAGAGCTCAAACGAATATGCGCATGGTTTTGAAGAATTTACATAGCCTCAATGTTAGGTCGAGGGGTTGGCAAATTGCCTCTCTTTATGTGGTGCAGAACGCTCAGACAAAAGGGGCAAGATTGGAGGGTCTTGTGATAGCAGACTTGTAGGCTGATTGCTCTCTTCCCCGTTTTTATCAAATCTTATTATCTACAGATCGACGAAGGAGCTTTCGCCTACTGAACGAGTATCATCATCTGGGCGATCGACAGTTTCCGTGGAGCGCACTTTACCTCTCATAAAACCTCTCGAGCAACAACGATCTTCAAGTCAGACGCCGTCTACAACTGAGTCTGGAAAAACATCTGTAAGAGAATTTCGTAAAATGCGTGATGGGGATTCTGTCAAAAGGACTTTCTACAGGATGGATCCTCATCATCTATCCATAGTGGTGATCAGCATGTGTCTGCTACTGTTTCGATAACAACTCGACCACTGCAGCAGCCAAATTCATGGATAAACCGCGGTGTGCAACTTATAACAAGGTATGAAATCTTCACTCTCTTTGATCTCGCTTAATAAATGACAGGTGAACATTTGTTTCCCAGATCTGGCAGTACCTCCAGCTCGGCTACATCTCGATCGATTACTACAGCGTCATCGGAATCCTCATCACCCATGTCCATGACAGTACCTATGTCGTCTGGAACTAGTGGCGCTCAGTCCAACATAACAACCCCTGTACTTGCAAAGCCACCGTAAGTCCTAGTTCAAATCCTATT